AGAAATTAACATATAGCATAAAGTACATATACTTTATGTTGGACAGAAATCATATAACATATAACATAAAGCATTGCCAATAGAGTTGTAAAGTTGTATAACATATCATATAACATGAAAAGTGGTCATATAAACAGAAAATATTGCAAGTCTAGTTGTAAAGTTGTCAACAGAAAATCAACATTACTTCAACATAAACCACATACATTTTCTGTCAAAAGAAAATAGAAAACATTGCAAGTAAAGTTGTCAACAGAAAATCAACATTATTTCAACATAAACCACATACATTTTATGTAAACACAAAATTAGTACAGTTGTCAAAAATCAAGAGTCAAGAGTAATATAAAACAAAATAATCGACATTATTTAAAAAAAACCCCATTCAATTTCTGGCAAAATTCTAGGTTAATCCATTTTCTCTCAAACTGAAAATGTAGCTTACCGTAAAGCATGGCGTTGTCCCCTTTTTGTCGTAGCCTCCATGTCAGAACCATCTTCACTTTGAACCCTAAAAATTTCCTCGAACCCCTCTTATATCCAAGCGTTGCTCGTTATTTTCTCTTAATCACTTTCTATGTTTCCTCTCTTTGTTTCCTCACGTTTTCGTTTATGGTTTTCTCAAACACCTTATGCAAATCTCTGAAACTACTTCATCCGTGAAGGAGAAAGTGAATAATGGAATCAAATAGAATCAGATGTATCCCTTTTATTTTCCCCGCTCATTTTATGTTTAATTATTTTTTGGCTAATTTTTTGGTAAAACATTGGTCAACGAGAGAAGTGAGGTTCTTCACTGTGGCAATCAAACCATCCAGGTAAGCATCTAACGTTCCACGTGTGTTTTTCGTGACGGCTCCTAACGGCTGTTAATGACCAGTGACCATTTGTGACAAACGATAACATTAATAACCAATTTGTAACTTTTTAAACATTAGTGGTGAAAACGAAAACTTACCCAAACATCAGTGACCATTGGTGTAGTTTACCCTTCAAAATAATATGACATACTAAATTCGGGTTCGGATAAAGATCGTATCAATAATTTTCCAATGGTTGAGTCTAATGGCTATGACTCAACCTTAGCATCATGGTGTCAGACAAAGATGCACAAACTTTAAAACCAGACACCTAATGGAAAATGTTTTAGACAAGAATATGACATATGTTTCGAACAAATGTGTATGTCTTCTTTTGGCTCTTCCATTGAACATTACTTATCAGATGGCTGCAATTGTGAGGATTACTATGATTTAAAGTTATCAAAATCATTACATGGAAGATGGGTAAGATCCACCAAATTTTCATTTTTTTTGTCATTCTTCAAGAATATAACAATAGTCAAGTTTCAGCACTTTGCAAATTTTGTAACTTGCAAATACTCTTTGGGAGGATCTCAAGATCTTCATTTCCAGAAAGATCAAGGTATCTCAAATTTATGAATGGAGCGTGGAACAAGATTTACATGATCCAAGTCCAACACACACAAACACCTACATTTAGATATTATTAAATTTCATGTTGCCTCTATTTTGATTTTTATGGGTAGCAAATCGTAACAATGACGATAGTGTATTAATTTATGATTATCGGAATTAAATTAAATTGATGAAATATGTTAAAATTTAATTATTTAATTAGTTGTATCAACCAAATTATCTCAATGATTAAAGGATGATTATTACTCTAAAAGTCTCATATTCGAATACTAGATATTGCAAAGTTGTTTGAACTTTCATTGTCAATTAATTGTGAATCTTTAAGATAAATATTATTTTATAATTATCTTAAATCAACAAAAAAATATTTAATTGGTTAAAATAATAAGATGGAACTTAAAATTAATGATCCGATCGATTTAACGATTCATTTTCACGTGTTAATAATGCAAAAAAGAAAGTTAGGCATAGAATAAACAAAAGCTTAAAGAACTTAGGCCAACGCCATCCGACCAGTATTCATCTCGTGAACAAAAACCCAATCACAATCGGCCCACGATATTCCCAATCTACACCTTGCTGTAGCCTATCACTCTTCCATACCCGAATCACAACTCGCCACGTCATGTTCACACGCGAGATACGCCATCTCATCGAATAGATCAACTTACGTGGCATCCTACGTGTCACTCTCCCAGTTTCAGAATTATATAGAAACACACACCAGCTTTAACCGTTTAAAATTCTCAGCTCTTTTCTGCAATTTCCCGGAAAGAAGATTTTGTCGTTTGATAACGGAACCCTAAGCTGGTTTTTTCACGCCATGAATAACAATAGGCAAGCGCCGGTGGTGTCGGTGACGGGAGTGCCGTCGTCGAGTTGAGGGCTTTATCGTTCATTTCGAAAGGGTGGAGAGAGGTACGCGACTCGGCCGACGCGGATTTGCAACTGATGAAAGATCGTGCGAACTCTTTCAAGAACGTCGCGGCGAGTTTCGACAGAGAAATTGATGGAGAAATGGGGTCCGAGGGCGAACTTGGGGATAGACTTGTCAAGGATAAGGAGCACAGTCGCGGCGGAGTGTATGGGATCAAAGATGAGGATACGGAAGGAATTATTGATTTTAATAAGGCCAGTGAAGGGAGGAGTGAGAGGCTCAACGAGGAAGGGCAATTTGGTGATGGGAACCAATTCGGGCGTTAAAGACAAGGATAAGGGAATTTGAGAAGAAAAATTCTACGGTTGAAATTTTTGCTGGGTTTAAGAATGACGAGTTTATGGAGAAAGTTAAGTCTAGTTTGGTAAGCTCTCTATTTTTTTGGCGTGAATTTTTTTAATACATATATTTCATTTGTGAAGTAGTTAGAGGTTAATGCTAAGTTTTAGAAGGGAAAAAATTGATGGTTGTAATTAAGCACACATGTTCAAATGTATTAGGAAGAAACTATATTACTCTCTTACTGATTAGGAATTGTTCAGAGCCGTAGTATTTACACGAAGTTCAAATGTGGTGATGTTCATGATCTTAAGAGGAAGTATATATCTTTTCTTTTGACCAATCAGTTTTGCCTGGGCTAAATCAAATATTTTCTTTAATTTGTATTGGTAGCCTGAAATACACGTTCTTATAATGTATAATTTATTGCTAAACATTCTGCTCTAGTTAGATGATGTTTAGTTTTAACATTTTAGCTTGTAAAGCTTCTCTTTGTGTATTCTAGATGTTTATGTCATGATCTTTTATCTTGATTATCACAAATTAAAAATCCTCTTGGTATGCAATTGTTTATAAATTTGTTTATTTTGCAGAAAGCCATTTGCAAGGAGCCTCAGGAGTCAAAGGTTCCCTTGTTACCAATGGACTGTCATTTCCTTCTAGTGATCATTTGCAATTTTTTATGCATTCATGCGATTTATATTTTTCAGCTAAAATTTTCCACATATTGACAAGGATTTGTTGAAGTTTTTGCTTTTATTTTGTAACGGGCATTTCAATGTGTATACTGTAATTGAAGGATTACAGATATGCAAATTCCACTTAAACGGCATGCATGTTAGGTAATAAGCATACAAGCTATTTATAAAGTTTTATGATTAAAGTAGTTCTACATCAAAGAATCAATTGCAAACTCCATTGTGATGGTAGCCATAACTAGACTGAGCTTTTGCATGACAGTTGAGTCCGTTTAGCTACTGGATGCTTGCATTTATGATTATTGGTTATTTGGTTGGGATTAGAGCATATTGTTATAATTTTTTGTATTCCTAGGCTTAGCCCCATTGAAGGTAATCCATATATATATATATATATATATATATATATATATATATATATATTAAATTTTTTATTGAAGTGACCTGACCTTAAATTTTATAATTCATCCTCTATATTTTAAGGCTACTTCTACTTTTTATTCTTCAATAGCCTATTCTTTTGCAGCTTGTAAGGGATATAATTCCTCTTGACCTTGGGAATTGGAAGTGGGTTTATCTAGCTGGAGAAGCGGCAAAACCTTGCTTATTGAATCCATGTTAACACTTCGAAATAAAAGCAATTTTTTCTTGTTGATTGATTTCTTTTTTGCTTTGAAAAGATAAATCTATTTATTACCACAAGTTTGGTGAGCATTTTTAAGTTTAACTAAATATTTCATGTGTTTGAATTTGTGGAAACTTTTTTTATCTCTGGAGTTTCACTTCACCTTTTGTCCATGCACATTAGATTTTCAGTAGATGTGATAGATGATGTGGGTGTGCAAGCCACCATATACCAAAAGACCATCCAAGTATAATGAACCAAATTTATCTAGTATGAATATAAGCCACCATATGCCAACAGACTATGTATGTTCTGTAATTATTAGAGATAATTTTTTCTTCATCAGTTATTTCTAGTTTCTAATACCTGGCATTAGCAATGCTTTCATCCTGACCTCATTACAAATATTTTTATTAGAGGATGGAGCCAACTCTTTCGGGATGGTTAACTTTAGCATGACCCAAGCTGTTAACGGATGTTATATGCATATGCAAACATGATTTGATTTTAAGATGTTTGGTAAAATAGCTGTTGCATTACGCTGAATGCTTTTTGTATTTTTCCTGTCTGGTATAGGAAGTACCACCACTGGATGTACCAGAGCTGTTAACAGTTTTGTTCAGGCAGTCTGGACCTTTTCTGGATCAACTTGGCATCAGAAGAAGTAAGTAGTTGTATCTCTCTTATTCTTCTGTTTGGTATGTACTAGGAATCTAGGATGAAGAGCATATCGTTCATTGAGTTTAAATTTTCCACCACCAATCACCTTTCGGTTTTATCTATTTATTGTGAACGGGACTTTATTTACTTGAAGGGTTCTGTTCTCTTCTTTTTGCTTTCTGTTATGATTTCCTTTCTGTTATGATTTCCTTTGTAGGCCATTGTAGTTTGTATTTCAGTTCATGTCCTTTCTATTAGTAATTTTTAAGAAAGCTTCATCTGACCGATTTAACCAGGTGCTTTTCTTCTGGATTAAATTGGGACAGCATCTTTAATCTAATTTCTGTGGCATGTGGAGTGTGGCATACTTCTGCAGTTGTTGAGGTTATTGTCACTCAATCTACTACTAGTGTTTCCTCAGGAAAATTATTCACATGGGGGATGGAGACAAAGAAACCCGACTTAAGCCCACGTGTGTTCTAGCACTAATTGATTACAATTTTCACAAAGTTGCTTGTGGGCATGGCTTAACAATTGGTCTGGCAACATCAGAGAATATTTTTACAATGGGAAGTATTGTGTATGGTCAACTTGGGAATCCCTTTGCTGATGGAAAGATACCATGTTTAGTAGAAGACAAGCTTTCAGGGGAATGTGTTGAAGAAATTGCATGTGGTGCATATCACATCGCAACTCTAACTTCCAGGAATGAAGTCTATACTTGGGGAAAAGAAGTTAACGGTAGGTTGGGCCATGGAGATATTGAAGATCGAAAAACTCCTACTCTGGTTGAGGGATCTAAGGATAGACATGTCAAGTATATAGCTTGTGGTTCAAACTATAGTGCTACTATATGTTTCCATAAATGGGTATCCGGTACCGAAGAATCTCAATGCTTGGCTTGTAGACAGGCTTTGGGGTTTGCCAGAAAAAGGCATAATTGCTACAACTGTGGACTGTCATTCCTGCAGTTCATGGAAAGCACTAAGAGCAGCTTTGACCCCTAATCCTGGGAAACCTTTTCGTGTATGTGATTCATGTTTTGCTAAAACGAACAAGGTTTTTGAAGTTGGTAATAATAGGATGAATTCTGTACCACGTCTTTCAGATGAGAGCAAGGACAGGTTGGATAAGGCTGAAACATTCTCCTTGGTTCGCTCAACTCAAGCAACTTCTTTATTACAATTGAAAGATATTGCTTTGTCTACTCCTGTAGATTTGCAATGGACAGTTCCTTAACCAATTCTTACTCCATTTGAATGAGTTCCAGATCTGTTTCACCTTCATCAAGGAAACCTAGCCCTCCACGATCTGCTACCCCAGTTCCAACAACATCTGGATTTCCTTTTTCCAAAAATGTCATGGATAAATTGAAAAAGACAAATGACCTTTTGAACCAAGAAGTGCTTAAGGTGTGTGGACATGTTGAGACTCTAAGGATGAGATGCGAGCTCCAAGAATCAGAGCTTCAAAAATCAACGTGAAAGCTCAGGAAGCTATGTCATTGGCTGCAGAGGAGTTTGCTAAATCTGAAGCTGCCAAGGAAGTTATAAAGTCGCTAACAGCTCAGCTCAAGGATATGGCTGAGAGGTTGCCACCTGGAGTTTATGAAACTGAGAGCATTAAACCAACATTCCTTCCAAATGGCTTGGAGCAAAATGGTGTTCACTGTCCAGATTCAAATGGATTGGGACATTTGAGATTTGATTCAATTGGTGGCTCTTTTATTTCCTTCCCTACTGCACTTGATTATGCCGCAATCAATGGCCATTCAAATACTAGGTTGCTGAAGGGTACCACAGGTTGGCAGGAAGGGAACATTAATTTGCCAGAGGTTATTGATGAAAGAGAATCTGGATCTTTCAGAGAGAGCGAAAATAGTACGAAATGCAGAAATTCTGGATTAGTAGCTAATGGCGGTCAAGCTGAGGCTGACTGGATTGAACAGTATGAGCCTGAAGTCTACATAACTATTGTAGCACTGCAGGATGGAACTAGGGATCTTAAACGTGTGCGGTTCAACCAGAGAAGATTTGGAGAGCACTAAGCAGAATCTTGGTGGTCAGAAAACCGCGAGAAGGTTGTGGAGCGGTACTGGGATTGGGAGCTTACAAATGAAACTCAACCTATTTGGAATATGTTACCTTGAAACGGAGAAATGAGAGGCCAAAAGATACAGGGAAGAGCAAAGTTTCACAAAACAATGATACGGTATGGTATGAAGTGAATGTAAATTCTGATAAACCACCTACTCTGCTATGGTGTTCAGAATTCACAGTGCATACGGTCCCAGATATGTTGCAGAACATAATTAAACAACATGTTGATAAAAATCGAAGTGAACGACAATTTCAAATTGGAGAAGAAGTATACCTAAGATTGCAACCTTACTGGCATAATTTACTTGTACGATGGATGAACTTGAACTCAAATCACGATACTTGGGAAGCTTATACCATTCTGAGTACTCAGTTTCCAAGTTTCGATCCTTGGGGACAAGGATCTATTCGTGGAGGGGGTAATGTCATGCACAAGAGAGAAGGCAGAGAAGAAGTTAGACTCGAGGAAAGGGATTTGGGAATTATTAAGGAAGAGTTAGGGATTGAAGAGGAGGAATTGGGAATTGAAGCACGTGAATAGCATATGATTAACTTACCGGATGAGTTGGAGCAGGTTGAGTGGATCCGGGAAGAGTTGAAGCAGTCCAAGTCAGAAGGCAAATACCTGCAGAAGAAAAGAAGGGATAAGTAGAGTTGTTAGAATCTGTTAAAAATGACAACCACCTGGCATCCTTAGATTTACCGTACAACCATTGTAACTAAATAATATCTGACTTGAGGCATTTCTTCCTCATGCAATGAATGATGAATTCCTTCTCTAAAATATCTCTTCTCTAAATTCTTCTCTCGTATCTATTTCTTTTCTCTTAATCCATAACAATTGGTATCAAGAGCCTTAATTCCTAGCAAATTGTAGACTGGATATGCAAAAGAAGAACCAAACCATGGTCGAATCTATTAAGAGGGAGAAAAATGGTGCTCTACAACCTTCTTTGTGAAACACATCAACAATTGGGTCACCAGAGCACATTGCCACAAGGTGTGTATCAATTGTTTTATGCTTTTGTGGCATCTTCGACCATCATTTATTTTGTCAATTTTAAATGTATCATTGGTTTGGTGCCTGCTCACTCTGTCAGTTATAAGGTCTTATTGGTAAACTTTGAATCAATTCTTTGTATTGTGTAAAATAAGTTGTTTGTGTTCACCTTCAGGTTCTTCTCCTTTCTTCTGCAACTCAAGATATGCCGAAGGCTGTGATTTGCAATGTTCATGGTGTAACCCCGAAGTTTTTGAAAATCGGGGAAAAAGTTGCTGAAGAAAGGGAACTTGGGCAGCAAGCCTTCTCTGGAGCATACTTCTTAGGCAAAATGATTTGGGCAAAGGGATACAAAGAGCTGATAGATTTGCTGGCAAAACACAAGAATGATCTTGACAGTTTCAAGCTGGAGGTCTACGGGAACGGCGAGGATGCACACGAAGTTCAGAGTACTGCTAAGAGGTTGGATTTGAATCTTAATTTTCTGAAAGGAAGGGACCATTCAGATGATTCTCTTCATGGGTAAGGATCCTCTAGGCACTGCCTTTTAATAGTTGCATTGTTTCTACCTGACTAAAATGATCGTATTTTGAAACTTTATTGGGAGGGATTCTACATAATCTTCTGCAAGTTACCGTTGTTTCGGAATGGTTATTCTGTCCAACTTTCTAACATTACTTTCTTTTGAAGGTACAAAATCTTCATAAACCCTAGTGTCAGTGATGTGCTCTGCACAGCTACTGCAGAGGCACTTGCAATGGGAAAATTCGTAGTATGTGCTGACCATCCATCAAATGAGTTCTTCAGGTCATTTCCCAACTGACTTAAAAGACACCGGAAGACTTTGTTGTTAAAGTTAAAGAAGCTCTGGCAAACGAGCCTCAACCGCTTACGCCCGAGCAAAGATACAACCTATCATGGGAGGCTGCCACCAACAGATTTATAGAATATTCAGAGCTCGACAGACTTTTGAACAATGAACATAATGGTGCAACACTGAGAAAATCAAATGGAAAAATAATTGCAAGATCTGTTTCAATGCCAAGCCTTTCAGATATGGTTGATGGAGGGATAGCATTCGCCCACTATTGTCTCACCGGGAACGAGTTCCTTCAAGTTTGCACCGGAGCAATACCGGGTACTCGGGATTATGGAAAGCAACATTGTAAAGACCTTCATCTCTTACCTCCACAAGTGGAAAATCCCATCAATGGCTGGTAAGTAGATGTAGAACTGTATTGATTATAGGAGCTGCTAACCATGGTTGTGAGTCTAAAGGTTTTTCTGCTTCGGTTAATATCCTTGTCCCGGACTTAGTCCCGTTGTTTTATGCAGTTATCTTTAAGACGTAGCATCCGGAAAGTCTGAAGTTCGGATTCCGTCGACTTTAACCCGTCCTCTTCTGCTTACATTCTTCCATCAATGGAAAAACAACATATTAGTTTCCGAGGACTGGTATCTAGACAGCCTTTCAACCATTAGGTTCGCAGATGAAAATTTAGATGCCAAAATATTATTTTATTTTTATAGATTATTAAATTGAATGATGCTCTTGTTGTAAGTAAATTACGTTTATGGATATCAGCGGAAGCTGTAATAATCTGGGGGCAATATTCTTTGTTATTGTGAGCTTTTATTTTCTTGATTAAATTTGAATTTTACTTATTAAAACGTGAGTATTTAAACTAATGACCGATTTTAGTAAAATAATTTGAAAGTTGTTTAATTTTTTTAAAATGTTAGAAGTCTAAATTAAAATTAAAAAAAAATTGATTTTTAGTAAGCTTTTTTTTTTTAAAAAAAAAGAAAGAAAGAAAGAAAGAGAGTTAACTAAAAATATCTACAAATTAAAAATTGTTGAGCTCAATTTGGATGGATTTAATTTTGGATATTTTTAGCATATTTAATAATAAAGTAATACTAATGTATAGAAGTAGGGCAAAATTGTCCAGATAATGTGGATGGGGATTTTTTTTCCCATAATAATGCACTTCTCCGATTAATTTTCCATCTAGAGTGTTTTCTACAGTGCAATGCCAAAGGCCCCAGGATGTATCGGTGTCTTCACGAAAAAATAAAGGGCACGAGATTGGTTGGCGTCTTCAGGCAAGTTTTCCATGCAGAAGACCCTTGGATTACTCGACGTCTTCAGGTCAACGGGTGGCAATCAAAATGCCCCAGGACTACGCAGCGTCTTCAAGCCTGCTACATGGGAACGCACAAAGGTTGAACGCCGACTACTGCACCCGAATCATGGTGTCATTATTGGGCACTAATAATGATATTATAGTGAACCAATAATTCAATACGGACGGGATTTATAAATTGAGAGAGTTGAGAGTTTGGGGGAGAAAAAAAAGGAAGAAAAGAAGGTGGAGTTGAGAAAAGAATGGAAGAAAGCTTGCATGGCCGAGAGAGAGTAGGGAAAAAAAGGAGATAAAAAAGTTCGAACAAAGGAAAAAAATTCGAATTATTTGGTAAGTTTAATGTAAATTTTATTGTTCCATTTTTTTATTTTAAATAGAAATTAATTAGATAATTTATTTTGATTTTACATATTGAACTATATTTGCGTTGTTTGATAAGTTTAATTTAAATTTTCATGTAAGTTTTAGTGTAATTTTTATTTTTATTTTTTAAAAAATAATTATTAGACTATTTATTTTGATTTTACCTATTAAGTTGTATTTGAGTAGTTTGGTAAGTTTAGTTTAGTTTAGTTCAATTTAAATTTTATTTTTTATTGAGTAATATAAATTATGATATTGATTATTTTTATTTTAGAGATTAAATCGTATTTGAGTAGTTTTGTAAGTTTAGTGTAAAATATATTGTTTAGGGTTTAGAGTTTTTATTGTAAATATAAAGTAATTAGACTATTTATTTTGATTTTACAGATTAAATTGTAT